GCCCCCTTCATGTTTCCAAAGATGGACAGACGGACAGGGCAGGGAACCACTCAGGGAAGAACTGTTTATTCGGCTTGCTTACAGTTCTGCCTGTCCTCCATACTTTAACATTATTTCTCAGAGTAGGCCCAGATTCAGGTTCATCTGCACGGATGTAGGTAGCTTGAAATTGGCCAACTTTAACCTACTAACTATGACCTGATCAGCTTTTCTTAGCGGGACTGAAAGAAGCGATAACTGAGGCCCTTTACCAAAAATCATGTTTAGTGTTGCACACTAAAGGTGATGGTTTCCATTTTTCTTTTCTTTTTTGTTTTTTGGTTTGTTTTTGCATCTGCCTTTTATAAATGAAGTATTAATCAAAATCTTATTAATACTAACAAATATATGTATATATTTGTTTTTGTTTTTAAATATGGGGATGAGTTCATCACGAACACATTTGTTTGTTTCAGATTGACGACCTAACTGAAAAACCTTCTGTTCCTTCCCAGGGCGTAGGTGAGTTCTGTCAACAATCAGCAGCACTTAAATGATGAGAGGGGAATAGTTTGTTTTCTTATTGTCAACGAATCAACTGAAATAACTATAACCCACATTGTGCCAGTTAGTCTTGAATAGCATTTAAATCTTTTAACTCTACCCACATGAAATAATTTTTTAAAACATTTCATATATATACGTAACTCTTTGACAAAATTATCTTGTAATTTATTGTGCAAATTGAGCATTATTAGCATGCCAGTGTGCTTGTTGGAAGCAGATTTGCTGCTTTGATGTGTATTTGCTGCAGAAGGATGGTGAGGCTCATACTAATGAAAGCAAAGGTTACAGAGTGCAGCTCACAGGTGGGGGAGGTCTGTGGAACAGACCTCGTTTGTTTATTTATTTTAATCTGTCTTGTTTGCAGTAGATTTTAACAAGGTGGGAAAATAAAGTAGGGTAGGACTTAAGTTATCCTTAAAATGCTCACCTGCCAAACATTTTCCTAAATAATTAATGCCTGTTACTCTCCAGGTCCCGCTCCTTCGGCTCAGATTTATGACAACAACGCTCTTCCAGAACTCCCATCTGTTCCTGACACACTCCCAACATCCTCCTTGGGCAGAAGCAACACCACCTCGGATGACATTGACTTTGATGATTTGACGCGGCGCTTTGAGGAGCTGAAGAAGAAGACCTAAATGCTTTAACCTGATATACATAAACAGGCCTGTGTCACCTACACAGCTCAGAACAGGAAATAGGAATTGTTCAAGGCTCTGAATCAGATTTGGGTAGCTCTCCTCCCTCTTTCTTGGTGAAGTAATTTTACACAAATATTAAACATACATGTAATCTATTACCTCATTTATATAGCTGTGACCAGCTAATGAGAGAGAGTACTTTTTAGCGCCACATGTTTTCATTTCTTCTATTTGGCACGTTGGATAAAATCTTAAACAATCATGCGGGTATTCACCCCTTCTCGCTCCTTATTTAAAATCGCACTGAAGTTTAACCTTTTCCATTTGTCTGTGTGGTAATTAATATGTTCACATTTAGATCTTAAGTGTTGATTTTTCTGAAGGTTTTGGGTTTGATTGATATTTATAGTACATGCCTTTATTCTACTTTGGACACACTGTCGCTGTGATCTTTGCCACTGTGTCGCTCAGTCCCGTCTCAGACCAGTTTGACAGGTATAGCGGGCTGCGCCACCTCTGTGGCGAACAAGCTTTTACGCATTAAAATCTCCATTTAGTTTCCAAAGTGAGGCTCCAACAGTAGTGAGGTTTTTCTCAGCTGTACCGGGACACATAGAAGCCATATTTTCAGTGTGTTACGCAGTTTTTCTCACTGTGGGATTGTTAAATACTCATTATTACCGAGGTTCTCAAACTTCAAGGTGTATTTGTATCAGAAAAATAGTATGGTTTCAAACCTTTTCCGTTTGAGGGCGATGGGACACAGATGTAAAATGACAACATGTATGAAATCTGTAATTTAATACACTTACAGCAATATAGGTAGACTTATGTACATGAATGATTTAACTGTATAGGAAAAGGAGTTTGGCAACCGGGAGTTGTTCAATATTTGACAAATCTGTTTTATATACACTATCTCCAAATAAAGTTTTCTTTTTGCCCTTTTGAATTTCAGTTTTACAAAATACCTGCACTTTTTTTTATGACTGAACAAACAAATTTGCAATTAAAATCCTGGCAGGCGAAAGCAGCCAGCCAGCAAACTGATTTGATTAGATGTAAAGTTTGAGAGCAGAGGAAAAAGTTCGTGCCATTGTGATCTTGTGCATGGGTCTTGTACTGTATGTTCACCACTCCATTTGCCTTACCTTTCACCTCTCATCTGAGGCCTTGCCAGTCTGTTTTAGGATTAAGCATCTGTTATCCACCAAGACTGGACACATAATGCGTTTTTCAGTTTCTAATTGACCTTATTTGCGTTACACTCCACAGATTCTGAGTTTTAATTTGCTTGATAGATTAAAAAAAATCTGTACAGGCATTAGAGGTAGATGTTTCTAATTATTGTAATAAGTGTAGTGAGAGGTTTTTGTTATTGTTCCTGTAACCTGACTACACCGGGCTCTGCTTGCATGGCAAATAGACGGTGGCCTTGAATAATATGACTCAGCGCTTTGAAAAGCTTCCCCACTGGGTTATACGTGCAGTTAATTAATAGTTTTACATGAGCTGGGAAAAAACGGAGAGATAATTAACCCTACAGAACTGTGATCTGCTCACTGTCTTTTCTATGTTCGATTGTTCTTTCATGTTAAACTTTAAGACACAAAATAGTGTCTTGTTGCAAAAAATAGTTCCCCTCCCCCCAAACAATGTATACTACAATAACAATTTAATAAAAGACTATTTGGAACTGGAAAGCTTGTAAGGTCTGCACATAATTTTCCATCAGTTTTTCTTTTTAAAAACAACCTGTAATGCTCAATGGTAACCAGCAGAGGTCGCTAATATTAAGGGAAAGCTCTGAAAGGGAAATAATTTTTTCAATTATGTAAAACATACTGTGATTTAAGTTAATGTGAAACTAACCTCTTTACATAATGGATCCTTTCAGTTATCGCAACATAGTCTTGCATCAAGTCATAGTTGACTCATTTTCTGTTTGACACTTGTGATCAATACAGGTGTGAGTTAAGAGCGGCTCAATCATGTGAAAACTCATCCTGTTAAGTTTTAGTGATCATTTGGCTTTGGACAGTCTCCTCTTTGTTCTTTCTTTGAGTTTCTAAAAGTAGGATGAGAGGCAGAGCCTTCAGGTATCAGGCCTCACTCCAGCTCTCAGTTTGGATTTGGGAGTGAGATTAGGCTTAAAATTTTACTTTTTCCTAAAGCTCATGTTTTCTCTTTCATAGTTTGTTTTATCTGTGTCTCCCTATCATCTCCTTTTTTCCTTTTCTCTTTTCCCTCCCTGAGCCTGGTTATCCTGGATGTTTCTTCCTGTTGAAAGGGAGTTCTTCCTCCCCACTGTTGCCTAGTCCTAATTATAGGCTTGTTGTTGGTTTTCTATCTAATATTGTAGGATCTTTACTTTACAATATAAAATGCCTTGAGGTTGCTGTAGTTTTGAATTGGTATGAGATGAATTTCTTGAGTCTTGTAGTCTGTGGTCACACCGTTTTACACACTTGTGATAATATTTGTGTTTTTCTGTGTGATTGAGCCGACTGTTTTTTAAACTGGTGTCCAAAAAAGACTCGAGAGTTCTGTTTCCAAGGGTTGGGATGCTGTTGAGATGAGTAGATCCCAACAAACTAAATGCGGGAGTGTGTTTGTAAATAGTAAGTGGACTGCTTCTTATATAGCACTTCACAATTCACACTCTGACGAACGCATCAGAAGCAACCTGGGGGTCAATGTTTTGGCCCACGATACTTTGGCATGTAGACTGGAGCAGCCAGCCACTGAACTCCCAACCTTTAGTGGACAATCTGCTCCACCTCCTGAGCCTCAGCCAGGGAAAATGTGGATGAACGTGTGTGGGAAGTACTAAAGCTGGGAGGTAGTTAATTTCTTTTTTTTATATTGAACTTATAAAATCATACATACAAAATTTGCAAGAGGTTTAGCAGTAATCATGCAAAGGTCTCAAATACCACCTTTTGGTTCCACTTTCCAGGGTAATCTGGTGTGATAGTCTTTGTGCACTGATTATTTTACTAATGCAATGACTGTTAATTGTTATGTAAGCTGCTGGTCATCTCTGGGATTCACTAGGGATGCATACACAGATCAGCACATCTCTTTTTGACCTGAGTTCAATTTTATAAATCATTTAAACATTAAACATCAACTAAGCAACTGCAGATTTTACCAGAGAGCTGTTTATTGAAATTCACACATATAATACTACTGTATGACACCAGTGAATAAATAGTTTAAATCATTTGTGATTAAGCACAGAAGATCTAAGACAGGACAATCAGCTGTCTGAAGAACAGCTTGTATTCCCAAACCAAAAGCACAAACTTGAATGAGATCTGTTACATAAGCCTTTTAAACTGAGGACTGAATGAATCTCAAAAATGCAGCCAAGAGTGATAAAGAGGCATGAAACACACTTTCAGAATCAATTACAGTGACAGGAGTAAAATGAAAAATGTAATCAATTAATCATTAGCTCCCAGATGGGCAGCAACATAAAAGCACCTTCGCACTATTTCACACAACTTCATTTACAGCTATTAACCGTTAGAATCATAGGGAAGCATTTAAACAGAAAGCTGTGTTAAAGTTACTGAAAAATAATTCTTTGCAGGTTTTTTTCTGTTGAAATTTCTCTTCTATTTCTCCTGGATCACTACTTTATTGGATAAAAGACAGCTTTTTTCACACTCGATGATAATAGTTCTTAACGTGTTTACATATGTCTGAATCTGTATATGTGTTTTGCACTAGCATTAAATGAATGTATCAACAGTTTTTTTAAAAAGGAAAAAAAATCTCTTTTTCTCATACGTAATCCTGGTGAATTTCACATACAAGAACAGTTATTTAATTGCCCATTATTATGACTCACAACTTCAAAAAGATTCTCACAGGCACTGGAACCTCTGTACACATACAAAACACCATGACGTGTAATGCAACTCTATATCCAGAAAGTAAAACTTACAATAAGTGCAAAAGATTTCCTAAGAAGCGGGGGGGCATGTGTCGCAGCTGTGCATGTCAGAGGAGTCAGCTCATGTCGTCAAATGCAGTAACCTCACATTGTGTCCCTGCCGCTGTACTGTCTGCACTTTTCCTGTTGCTCTGTTAAATGGAGAAGACACAACTGTAAGACTCAAAGCACTTATCTTAAGCTCCGCAAAGGGTACATGGATACACAGATGCACGAGAGAAAGGTAACAGGAAAAGAAAGGGGTCAGTCCTTTATCGCAGTCAACAAAATTTTGGGTGTGTGTGATCTGCATGATTACATCAGAGCTCTCGGCAGCCAAGCTGAAAAAAGGGGAAAAGGCTTCCTTGGTCTGCTTCGTGAAATATGAATGAGACGGTTGCAGTAAATCTTTCCTGTGTGTTGAATAATATTTAGACACTATCTCAGGTTAATATGAATCCATATAATCTTTGCATGTTGGTAAATAAATTCTTCTAATTTGAAATATGAATGATTATTTTTACATGTACACGCAAAATAGGTTCATCCAACCTGTTTCATTTTCTGTGAATTAATGAAAACTTCATATTTTTTGATTTTAGGACAGCCTGGTGACCACCTATCTGACCCATTGTCCTCTGACAGGAGCTACAGGCCACAGGAATCATAATGCCAAGGCCATTTGGACTCTAAGTCAGTGCAAACATGTAAAATGAAATCAGTCCACCACAATTTTGCTTTTTGCAACAAATGCATCCTTGTTGCATCTACTAATTTTTATATATATTCATGAATCTAATTGTTTACATTCAGTTGTATAAGACTGATACATACACAGATGCATAGTGTTATAGTGGACAATATGTTAAGAACTTTAATGCACTAAACAATAGCAGCTCTCCTAACATCATTATATTTTAGTACGGTGACAATAAGGCTTTCTAATTTTTTTTATTTTAAAAAAAGTACTCCAAAAAGAAAAGATACTGATTATACGCTGCTGAGAAAAACGTCACAAGTAGCACAAAGAGGTCATTAAAGAGAGTAACAAAAGTGACTTGTTATTACTAATACTACTAATGATTATTATCAAAGAAAAAAATGTTTATTTAATTTTAATATCTATAGTAAATATCTATAAAATATTATAAAAATATTTATAAAAGAGAAAAATGGGTACTTTTTTGTAAATATAAAAAAATTATTCAACAAAAACATCACATCACAGTATATACTTAAAGCTTTGCACTGACCTGTTCTGGCTGCACAGAGACTACAGAACAAGTTTTCTTACCTAACAGGACTTGCTCAACTTCTTCACTCTCGTCTACAGCTACAGGTTTGAGCAGCAGGGCGAAAATCACAGCAACGCCTATCACCTGTGAGAAAAAGCAGACCGCACAAGAAACGAATAGTGTTGCATACACGTTTGCAGAAATTTCAAAAACAGAAACAAACTATAACATTCTGTAGAAACCCAAGTATCTTCAAATACATACATCATCTCAGAGTGTGACATGCAGGAAACACTTCAGATTATCAGCCAAGCAAATTGACTTTAAAAAAAAAAGGATTTATTTTACCCACCTTTAGAGGCTGCAGAATAAAGATGCTTTCGAAAAGGGAGAGGCCCAGAGACATGACCCACTTGATGGACTTCTCCTTGCCGTACTGAAAGCCATACAACAAGGTGAAGAAAGTTGAAATGCCGCTGATGGACAGCAACAGGAACCAGCCTACAAACACAAACCACCATGGCAGCCAACAGCCCAGGATGGTCGTTGCCTTCTTCTTTGGCTTCTTCGCAGGAGGTGGGCTGGGTTGGGACGAGATGGACAGAAAAAACACACGCATGACGTACCAGTTCAGTATAATAGCACAAATAGCTCTGCAAATATTTTTGTCTCACTGGCAGTTGGAGTACTGACCAGTAGGCCAAGTGGCTGCTGAAGACCATCTCAGTCTTGTGAACCAGTGCGTTGGTGTAGTTGAGGGCCTGCTGGTACTGGTCTAGAGTCGCAAAGTATCTGAAATCCAGTTTCTCCAGGCACATCAGGAGATGACAGAGACTAGCTAGGAGAAACTTGCTGCAGTACACCAAGTGATGGTCGCTCTCACTCTCTCCTGAGAAAGATTTATATTCAAACATATACATAAGAAGGTAGTTACATTTCTCTTGAAGTTACCTCTTTCTGAGAAGAAAGGTAACACTACTGTCACACTACACAAGGCAGAAAAGTGCTGCTGCTTGGCCTGATCAGACAGAGGAGAAGTTATTTGCCTAAAACTCAATTTGAATAGAAAGAAATAGGTCCTAGCAGTGTGCTACATGGAAATCTTTAAAAGACACGTCTGATGGTATTGATGTTTTTTTCCTGACAACATAAAAAAAAAAGAAAATAAGCCTTAAATACAAGCGTCATGTTTCTCAGCACTGTTGTTTCTTTGAGATAGGTCTTTGAGATAGTTTTTAGATTGTTTGAAATAACTGTTGATGGGGTGAGAGCAAGGAAATAAGCGTTCACTAGCCGTCTTATTGGTTCTTCTCAGAGTAGCAACAAACTGCTGTATTCATAAGCTTATGCATCTTATGTACTCTTTTATTAGTTTAAGATCACTAATAGTATGTTGCTTATGTGTATTCATGTTAATTTGAGTATATTATAAACATTTTATCTGTCTCTTTTTTCTTTCTTTTGCTGAGATTAAAGTGAATGAAATAAAACTACCTTGCATGTGCTGAATTAATTCATTCAACCTGTCCAAGGCCGAGAAGAGATCAACAACGGACTCCAGTCTGTGCATCTCTAACATCTTGTTTCTTGGGCTCTTGCTCGCCAAAGAAATGATCTGCTCTACATCCTGTTGCAGGGAAGAACAACAAGTACTAAATTATACATGAGCGGTGCACTGTTTCACTGCATAGATAAGTATGTAATAGTAAAGGAGAAACCAGAGCTACACGGACTATGACATGGACTATATTCAAAAAACATCTCAGGCTTGCAGGTTCTGTGATGAGTACGGGTCATCTGACAAATATAAACATGTAACGCACCCTCAGCACAGTCGGTATGTTGAGTATGGGGGGTTTCACGTTCTCCTCAGGGTCAGCTTTTTTAGATTTTGGAACTATGCGAGGTTTGATGCTTCGAAAGATTGTGATGATGAGGATGTTGATTGGGAACATGAGGAGACCGCACTGCACGCCCACCATGAGGTCCTGCCAGGTCATCTTTATTGAACCTGGACAGACACAACAAAGGACACGGTGATGATGATGTGAAGCAACTAATACAGCTCCAGCTAATAACACCCAAATAAACAGCTGCAAACAGTAATGCAATGTTTTACTGCAGGGTTCTTTCTCAGTTGATTTTAACAGAAAGCTGTGTGCGACTGTTTGCTCTCTGACCTCGTGGAATCAACTTTACATTATTTCAGTTTGAATATTGAATATCTATCCATACAATAGAAAGGTGTGACTAAAGGTCACATCAACAGAAGATCCAAGTGCAGAATGTAAAAACTCAATAACAGTAGATCTGCTAAGAAAGCACCAGTTTTAACAGTGTTTGGCCAGGTGGAGTTAGTAAGGTTCTGAGTTTGGTGCACATCTGGATGCAAATGTGTTGTAGGTAATTATTAAGAACCAGTCATGTTCACCTTCGGCATGCAGCCTTGCTCCTAGATACAATCGCTTGTGAGCAGTAATCCTTATCCAAACACTGCTAATATTAGCACAAAGAGCAGGTTCCCCTCCTGAATTAAACTTTGTTGTTTGATGCTAAGAAACAGATGTAATCAGTAATCAAACAATAATCTAAGACTTTGTAATCACCAATTGAAAAGAGTACTGTTGAGTTTGGATCCACAGGGATGTTCCAGAAGGCGATGTTGATGGCCATGGTACAGAGCAGAAGGCACATGCAGCAAGAAACCCTCTGGGCACGTGTGAACGGGCTGCGTGAGGGAGGATCCACGATGGACACCCAGATGTGTTCGTCTCTAAAACCAGTCGATGTCCTGGTCTGGAAAATGTTCCTGAGAGAGGACGGAGAATAAATAATCACTTAATTTAAGCGATGTGATGAGCAATTTATTTTCAGCAGTGTAAAGGGACTCTAACCTGAAGCTGGCAACCTCGTTGACTTTTGCAGCATTGAAGGTTTTTTTGGTCATGCCGTCTCCGCGCTCAGAACTCAGCCAGCATTCACAAAAGAAGTGCCACATGTGTCGCGTTTGGAGGTCCTGTACAGTCATTTTGTTTATGTACCTTTAAAGAAAAAATATACAGAAATGAAAGATGACACATTTAACATTTACCTAAGGAATTAAAATCATGGAAATAAAAAGCAACATTGCAAACTAGGAGCACCAAAACAGAAAAAAAAGAATTCAGTTATTTAACTCGCCATACCATGTGAAAGAAACACTCACCAGACGTCATTAGTAGAACCCAAATCTATATATTCATAGCCACACTGTAAATCATACCTTGCTTTATCATCTATTTTACTCTAAATAGAGTCACAGTTAACAAAATGAGCATTATATTGCATTAAAGGAGACTTGAAACGAATAAATAAACCCATCAGGAAGGTATTTAAAGGCATTTTTAAGCACCTTAATGCACTAGTCCCTTTTGACTAGTCCCTTACCTGTATAATACCAAATCAATCCAAGTATAAAAAAAACACACAGCTGTCTGTGTAGTATAGTAGTCTTTAAATAGTTGCCAACTTTTCAACACGTATGAGAGAAAACATTCTCATTTCTGATGAAAAGCACTTCATCCTGATCTGACGTAACGCCAAACGATCTACTTTTTGCTGCTCATGTCCTTACCACGATGGATGACCTCCAGAGTTGTCGTGCTGCAGCCTGATGGTCTGCACTTCACCCAGTGGGAAGGGTGTGGTCAGCACGAAATAATCAACAGATCCTCTCTCAAACACTGGCTTCTCTGGGTCTGTGAGAGTGTGTACGTTACTCTCTGCTTCTGAGCCAATCAGCTTCACTGTGACCTGCGGGAAGCACAGCGTACCGGTGAAGTGACCCAGACTGTATATACAGGGAGTGCAGAATTATTAGGCAAATGAGTATTTTGTCCACATCATCCTCTTCATGCATGTTGTCTTACTGCAAGCTGTATAGGCTCGAAAGCCTACTACCAATTAAGCATATTAGGTGATGTGCATCTCTGTAATGAGAAGGGGTGTGGTCTAATGACATCAACACCCTATATCAGGTGTGCATAATTATTAGGCAATGTCCTCCTGGCAAAAGGTCAAAGAAGACTTGACACTCAGAAAAGTCAAAAATAGTAGATATCTGCAGAGGATCAGCAGTCTCAAAAAAAGCTGAAGCGTAAGAACAATCAAGCGTTTCATTCAAAATAGTCAACAGGGTCGCAAGAAGCCTGTGGAAAAACCAAGGCGCAAAATAACTGCCCATGAACTGAGAAAAGTCAAGCGTGCAGTTGCCAAGGTGCCACTTGCCACCAGTTTGGCCATATTTCAGAGCTGCAACATCACTGGAGTGCCCAAAAGCACAAGGTGTGCAATACTCAGAGACATGGCCAAGGTAAGAAAGGCTGAAAGACGACCACCACTGAACAAGACACACAAGCTGAAACGTCAAGACTGGGCCAAGAAATATCTCAAGACTGGTTTTTCTAAGGTTTTATGGACTGATGAAATGAGAGTGAGTCTTGATGGGCCAGATGGATGGGCCCGTGGCTGGATTGGTAAAGGGCAGAGAGCTCCAGTCCGACTCAGACGCCAGCAAGGTGGAGGTGGAGTACTGGTTTGGGCTGGTATCATCAAAGATGAGCTTGTGGGGCCTTTTCGGGTTGAGGATGGAGTCAAGCTCAACTCCCAGTCCTACTGCCAGTTTCTGGAAGACACCTTCTTCAAGCAGTGGTACATGAAGAAGTCTGCATCCTTCAAGAAAAACATGATTTTCATGCAGGACAATGCTCCATCACACGCGTCCAAGTACTCCACAGCGTGGCTGGCAAGAAAGGGTATAAAAGAAGAAAAACTAATGACATGGCCCCTTGTTCACCTGATCTGAACCCCATTGAGAACCTGTGGTCCATCATCAAATGTGAGATTTACAAGGAGGGAAAACAGTACACCTCTCTGAACAGTGTCTGGGAGGCTGTGGTTGCTGCTGCACGCAATGTTGATGGTGAACAGATCAAAACACTGACAGATCCATGGATGGCAGGCTTTTGAGTGTCCTTGCAAAGAAAGGTGGCTATATTGGTCGCTGATTTGTTTTTGTTTTGTTTTTGAATGTCAGAAATGTATATTTATGAATGTGGAGATGTTATATTGGTTTCACTGGTAAAAATAAATAATTGAAATGGGTATATATTTGTTTTTTGTTAAGTTGCCTAATAATTATGGACAGTAATAGTCACCTGCACACACAGATATCCCCTAAAATAGCTAAAACTAAAAAAAAAAAACTACTTCCAAAAACATTCAGCTTTGATATTAATGAGTTTTTTGGGTTCATTGAGAACATGGTTGTTGTTCAATAATAACATTATTCCTCAAAAATACAACTTGCCTAATAATTCTGCACTCCCTGTACTTGAAGGACCGCACTATTTTTGGCCTTGTGCAACAAACTGTGAAGACTTGACATAACGGTGACCGAGGTTTCTAGAGGGATTTCATATGTAATTTCAAACCGGCTTCCATTAATTTAAGTACCTTCCCTCTTCTTGTAGATATAATATTAGTGCTTGACAAAATAATGTTAGGAAAACACAAGTTAACAATATTCTTTGACATGTAGTCCTTAGGAATTTCTTTCATACTTCTTCATTTATAGTTATCATAGTATTGTTGTTATAGTGAGTGACTCTGTCAACCTATCCAGTAATCCAGTGTCAGTGGGAAGTTGTGAGTTGGCTGTAAAATAGTCTTATTCATTAAAGACAGGTATGTCATCCTGTCTGAAAACAACACTAAGATGCCTGTCTGAGCGTTGAATCGGGTTTGTTTTCTGTAATCATCTCTTATCCGCAGTGATTGTGGTTTATAGTCTTCTACATGTAGTAAAATTTAAATGAGCCTATCCTTTAGGGAGGCGCCCATATTTACATAGTCCTTTTTCCGATGGCCGTGTTTGCTTCTTGTTTGCCTAAATGGAGCTTTTTTTTTCTTTTTAACATATATTGACTTGTTTTAAATGTAAATGTTCTTTATCAACTAAATTCCCACTATAAACTGAACTGAATCCACTGCCTGTCTGTAAGGTAGTGATTGTCAGTGCTGCATGATACTGCAAATTTTGGTATCAATCTGATACCGTGTAAATACAGGGCCAGTATGTGAAGATCGACACTTTGCAGGGAAAGCAATGGGTCATGATGTATCAGATGAGTCATCATCAATTTGCAAATTCTAAACACATTTAATGACCACTAAAAACTGTGATTTGTACTTTTCACAAAACTT